TTTTTTTTTTTTTTAGAAATATATATTCTTCTAACTTTTTTGAGAAAAATCAACTTTTTGCTTTTTCTTTTTTAAATTATCCATTTTCTTTTGAATCGTAGAAGTTTAATTTAAAGTAAATTGCATTATATCATCAGTGAAATTACAGTATATGGCACTGTGCAAAAATTCGTTTATTTGTAAAAAAGCATATTGTTTTTTCTCTCTTTTTTTTTTAATTTTTAAGTAATATTAAAAGAATGAAATTAATAGTTTGAAATATTTTAAATTTTTTGTTTGTTTTTTTAAATTAGCAAATGTTAAAATAATGATATGTCAATTTTTATAGGAAGTGGCCATGGGAGTACCATTAAAAAATGACCGACATAAATGGATAACGTGTTGGGCAGTACTTTATGGTACTAAATTATATCTTTGCTGTCAATTGGGCTCATATAAAAGCGATGAAACGCATAAAAAAGTTTGATTTTTACAATTTTTTTTGTTACAAAAATTTTAATTTTCAATTTTAACTTTCAATATCCAAGAGAATAATACAAATTTCAAAAGTTCAAAGAAGTTCAGTTTTAACTTTCAATACAATTTAATTTTACTAATTATTAATTTTCATTTCAAGCATTTGTTAACAATGATTACTTTGGTATAGTTAGTATTATGAAAAGCTATTAACTCTGTGAATGGTGAAGATTTCAAAAGATTATCGAATAGAAAAGAAATGAATTTAATGCACTGATAACAATTTAATTTATCGTTGTAATTACACATTCACATTACTCTTTGAGTTATAAACCTAAAAAAAAAAAAAGAAATCTTTTGATTATAAACTTAAATACGTTAGTGGTAACGTATTTTTGATAAATTTCAATTATCAATAATAGAATGATATTGTAGTATAAATGAATAATACGATAAACAAATGTGAAGAAATATCGGAAAAGATAAGAAGCAGGAAATGGAGTGCATTTTGTTTTATTTTCAATTCAATTTTAATAAACAAAGTGAAGTACATATTGGATATGTTATTGAATCAGTGAAGAGAGAGTGAAAAGCAAATCATATTTAAAGTATACAAATGTGTCGTTGTACTTCATCAGCTCATACTTGAGAAGATTTCATCGATCAGAGATATAAGCAATAAGTCTGATCGCTCTTTAACAAATGCTTATAGTTTGTTTGTATGATATATGCTAATAGTATGGTGATGGAAAATGTATTGAAGTTATGCCTATCTATTCGCTACTTTTTTTTTTCTTCCATCCAAAAAAAAAAAAAGATTGATTGAGGATCCTGATATAACGGTTATAGCTTTTCATATTTTCATATCCTAGCCTTAGGCCAATCTTTTTAGTAATCTAAATAAATTTTCACTTTATTTTAAAAATAATAGTTTTATTAATTTTTACAACAAATTATGATTTAGTATACTTGTAAAAAAATTGAATGTTTTTTTTAGTTACTAGTGTAGGTTTAATTTAAATGATATTTTTTTAAATTTCATTTTTTTTTCTTTGGCATTTTTAGTAATAGCCTTTGTTGCTACGAAGAATGAATAAGCACTATGGAATCGATCTCTTTATTAGATGTAATCAAACTTTTTTTTTTTTTTGCACTATCTGTTTATAGTAAATATGCTAACAAGCATAGAAATGTATACATGATGGAATTAATTTTAATTAATTTTAAGTATGAATTAAGATGCCATTTGTTTAGTTATGGTAAAACTTTTCAACTATCACTCTAACTCGGATGCTATTCTTTAGCAATATGGTATTACACACTCTCTCTTCCTCTCTCCCTGTCTCTCTCTGTCTCTCTCTCTCTCTCTCTTTATATATATTAACTCATTTCTATTAGTGCAAAAAGAAAAATAGATTGAAAATAGATAGGAAATGCATGAATGGAAATTAGGCTTAAGATTTAATCATAGAAAAAATTTCTTCCCATATCTTAAAATCCGAATTAATTTTATCTTTTCTTTTTCTTCTTTTTAATAAATGCTTAACATATTTATATATTCTTTCTAATTGAATTAAAAGTTTTCAACAAAATTACTAAATTTTTTTGTAATTATATTATTTATTAATACATTCATACAATTTTGTTCAGATATTTGAGTTCGATTCTTTGATTTTTATTGATATTGATAGCTAATGGATAAAGAAATTGAATTAATTGATAGTTAATTAAATTGCTTATAGTTATTGAACATTCCATCGGATGCTCGTGAAATTGATTTGAAATCAGCGATTATCGATATAGCATATGAATATTGGCGTCCAAAAGATAACAAAAAAGCGCATGTATTTCGTGTGATAACTCAACAGCATACTGAGCATCATTTTCAAGCATATTGGTGAGCTTTTCCAAAGAAAAAAAAATCAAGAAAAAAAACCTTAACAAAATTTTAATTTAAAAATTAGCAATTGAATTTATCAAAAAAAAAAAAAAAAGTTACCTCTCAGATTATAAACGACGGTAATGTGTAATCATAGAAAAATAACCTTATCAATTTTCATCTCAAAATTGTAATATCATTTCTTTTTGCCTATCAAATAATTATTCATTTTGCTAGCGAACTAATTTTTGCATATTTACCTGTCTTTTTAATCTATCAAAAGGAAAAAACAATTCTTTTGCGCAGAAAACTAAATTTTATATTTAACGCTTAAGACAAGTAATCAATATTGGCATAAAAACATTATTACTTGAATTCAATCATTTTGATAATACATTTATAGGTTTTTTTTTATGTTATTTTTTAAAGAGTGTAAATGTGGAGGAAAAACATGACTTAGCACATTATCAGATAGTTTTATTGGTATATTTCATCAATCATTATCGAAATAAGAAGAGCGAAAGATAGTAGGAGGAAAAGATGATATTTAAATTCAAAGCAATTGCCGAATCAATTTCAGATGAAGTTTTAAGTATAATTGATATCATCAAAACAATTGTTGCAGTGAAGATGATATGTTAAAATGGATTGAAATTATCCGAATTGCATCCTCAACATTGATTAACTCACACAGTGATCATGGTACCATTTCTGCTGGTGTTACAAGTAATGTCGAGATATCCTGTAATGTTCCAAATAGTTGCTCCATTGCTACAAAATTAAAATCAGATAATCCGGTAAATGATTTTTTTTTTCTCAACTTGTCTAATTTTACAACTTGAAGAATTGAAAAAATATTTGCAGGTTTTTTTTTTTTTGAAATTTTCAGAACGATTTTAATTGATATTTTCGAAGATTAGTTTTTTAAAAAAAAAAAAGTTCATATCTTATTGTAATGATATGCTTGGGGCATTCCGAAATTTACGTAAGTTTACGGAGTAATTGATATTTGAAATATATTTGTTTACTTTCTAAACTTCAATAAATTCAAATAACTAGAAAGGATGAAATTGAAACAAATTACTTATCCTTTGTTTTTTTTTTTGCCCGCATCAATTACGTCAGCTTTTTTTTTTTGTTTCATAATTTTAGAATGTTTGAAAATATTTTTCCACATTCTTCAGGAATATCTTATTTCCATCTTTTTTCATAAAAATTTGCCCAAATTATTTAAATTTTTAGAATGATTAATGCAAGTAGTTGATTTTGACAAGAAAGTTATCACTATGGATCGGTTTTTTTTCTTTCGAAATATCTGAAATTTCTCTTTTCATTTGATCAACAATTTTTTTTTTGTTTTTGTTTCTTTCTCTGTCATATATCTTTAAAAAAAAAAATTACACAAATTGATTGGTTTTAATGACAGAAAAATTACTCATCTTCAATATCTTATTCTCAACGTCATTAAATATGATACGTCAAGCACAGCTAGTTTAAGCATTTTTCATTAGCATATTTGAGAGCTACTGATTGTTATCTAATGTTAAATTTTTAAAATACAAAGGACCACTTACAATAAATCACATGTCTTTTTATATTTCACTTATTAATTATTTAATTTTACCAAAAGAAGCATTTGCAATCTTCTGATTATTGAGTATAAATAGATTTAGAATGAAAAATGAATAATCCAAAAAAAAAAAATTAAAATATTGCCGAATTATTGTTATGTGATTTGATATCAATAAATTAAATTGAAAATTGATTGGGGATATTATCGAAATAATACTTACTTATACTATCAGTAAATGATTGAAAATTTATCCTTTAAATATTCATGGAATCCATCAATGATATGAAAAGTATTTCTTGATAATAAATATATTTGTTATCTTAAATAATTGCTAATAATAAATTTCCAAGTGTCATTGTTATATTTCGCCATAATTTTTCATAAGTATTACTTTTACTGCAGTATTGTGCTTCTTTAATTAATAGCTTTTTCATTGATTTAAATTAATAATTTTGCAATAGCTTAAAATAAATGTCTGAAATTGAAATGAAGTTTGAATCGAGCAGATTACCATTCATCAATGATTTTAGCTTTTTTGAGGGAGAAATATTAAAAAGGAAAAAAAAATCCAATGAGCAATTTGAAGAAGACCTCACTAATCGATTGTTTGATTAGCTGGACAATCGATTAGCTGATTAATATATTAATCATTAGATATGACAAATTTATTAAACAGGATAACTAATTAATTGATTCAATTATTGAAATACATCAATCACACTATCTCAATTAGTTAACTTAGCAGCTTAGTCCTAGTAAAGATCGAATAAATGAGTTAATAGCCCTCGTTGCATAAATACTACGTGAACTGCTCTTACTTACGTGTTCTTAATCTGTTAAATGTTATATTTCCATAATGATATTTTTAACAAATTACTTGCATTATTTCGGTAACATTAGTAAATCAGAATTAGTTTTTTTTTTTTTTTTTTGGAACTTTAACTTTTTGAAATTCGGACTAAAAATATATGAATAAAAAATAACCGCGTTTAATGTAATAGTGAAGAAGTGAAATAATCAAAAGATTATATTTTTCATAGCTTCGGAAAAAAATTTAAACTCGATCGTCTTAAATAAAGCACTAAAAGTTACCTGATACCTGTCCATTCACTGTTATGTTCAGTAATGAATCAGTCAGAAGCATACATGATTAATTTAAGCTTAAGCTTATTTCAGTGCAATAAATTCCAGCTCTAAGCTAGGCGCAGAGATGATACGAATGTGAATGCTGTGCCTATAAGTGCCAGTGTTCCTCGCAAAACATATTTCACATTCTTTCATGAGGATTGAGGAGTATGAAAAGAAAGAAATTAGAGAGAAGGTCGTTTAGCAGGTAAATAGAGATAGGCTCTGCTCCTTATAAACCTATTCTAACAGGGCCTAGCAGCTACTTGCTCTTTGCCTTCCTCACACTAAAATGTATTACATTTAGCAATGGCAGCGCCTGTCATGCCTCATCATCATCACTGTTCAATTCAATGCACGTCTATTTATGGATAGTTGCGATGAGAATGCAGTTCCTTTCCTTCCATCTCTTTTGACATTCCTTCTTTCACAAATTCAATAATATCTTTTCTTTTTTTTTTCTTCTTCTTATACTTTATGATATTATCTGTCTGATTAGAATTAATGAAAAGAATTAATTTGATCTTTTTGATAATTGATAAAATTTGATGATTCAATCAAGATTAAAATTGAAATCTTTTTTTTTTTTGTTCCTAGAATAATTTTAAGATAAATTAAGATAATTGTTGAGATCAATAATTAGAATTAGAATAGTTAATGAATGAATAAAAATAATACAATGCTAATTTTATTCCTCATTTAGATTATTTAAATTGATAGAATTATTACTTGAATTAATTGGCAGCATAATAAAAATTATGTTAATTATCGCTTAATGTAACATTAACATTTTTACAATTTGTATCGCGAAATAATGTAACATTCTTTTTTTTTTCTCTTGCAGTAATAGATATTGAAGAAAAACCAACTAATGAGAAATAATTCCTTTGAGAATTGCGAATTAATCTTTTGCAAATTTAATAATAATAACCGGTAGTTGAATGCCACAGGCGCAATTAGGCATTCAATTAATTTTATTGGTAATATAATCGAGATTTTTTGCTCTTAGAAATGTATGTATGTATTTATATATTCGTTGTTATGTTATTATTGATTGAATGATGTCAAATTTTCACATTTAACCTTCTCTTTATCTCCCAATTACCTTATCATATTATCTGTCATCTCTTCTT